AACAAAGAAAGCCAGGAAAAAGCACCTTGTTCCCCAGAAAAGCTGCATTCTCTGCACCAGCCCACCCAACTGCTGTTGGGAGGTCTGCAGGTCCATGATCTTCATGTGCCTTTCTTCTCTATGGAACCACTGAGTCACATTTTCCCAACAGAATTACAGGGAATCTAAGAGTGCAGCTGCAATGGGGGGCAGAGACCCAAAAACTCCTTCAGTGACCCATATGACTGATGGGCCATGTGCTGCCTACTCCTGATCTAGCCCAAAAGTGTCTGTTCTCATCAGCAAAAGCTCTCCAGGCTTTCCCAATAAATTGAGAGTGAGATGTCGGTTTCAACACAACACCTTCTGCAGTCAAAGCACATGGTCTTCCATACAGCTGTGGCCTCTCACACTACATTTTGTTTATTTTATCTTTCAGATGACACAGATTGTTTACAGAAAACTCTCAGAAGCACAGAAAGTCTTGCACAGAGCTCCGTACAAATTAACAGCGTATTTTAATAACAAAAAGGAAGGCTTCACTGCTTCAGCTAGACAAGCCAACAGGCATATTTGGGATGGCACTGAAAATCTTCAAAGCTAATATAGCCAGTGTTCCCCATCCAAACCTGTATAGATTCTATGCATTTTTTGAAAAGTCACATCTCACTGAAATGTAGGTGACTTGCACTCAGGTGTACCTCAGATTGCTGCCTGAGGAGTAGATGCAATTACAATACATTTTAGGGGTATCAGCATCTTTTTCAGCATAAGGAGAGCTCCTTAGCCTTAAGGAGCCACATGGTGTGATGCTGAGTACTGGACTAGGGACCTGGGAGATCCATGTTTTACCCAGCCATGAAGCTCACGGGGGGGTGGGGGTAGTCTCTCAGCCCAACCTACCTCACAGGGTTGTTCTTAGGAGAATAAAAATGACGCAAAGAACTATATAAGCTGCCTTGGATTCCTCACAATAGGAAAAAATACAGGATATTACTGATGTACTTATGAATATGTGTGTGGCATGCAAAAATATGTGGGTGAAGCTTAACTTGCCCCAACTCCACCCCTGGAAAAAGGTTACCCTCCAGAATTTCTGCTTGCTGCACAGCTGTTAAAGACACAGCAGCCATGCTTGGAAAAAAGATGGCCAACTTACCTGAAATGCACGTTGACTTAATCTTTCTTATGAAATATGAAGTCATTACTTTGTAAGCCTGGGTCAGACCTAAGCAGAGGAAATGAGGTTTGCTAAAGGCTGAGAAACACACAGGAGCCCCATTAGATAGAAAAGAAGGCAGTCTTCAGCAGAACTGACTGAGGCTACAGTGACGGGCATTTGCCAGTGAAGTGCATAACACAGGCCACCACTTTTCATCCCCAACCAGCATTATTTTCCATTCTCACCCTACCAATGTACGTTCACGTGATGAGGATGAAGCAAGATGGTTTGGGTTTGCTTCTAAGGTATGATAACATGCTAGCACCCGAGGTCAAAAATCCAAATGCATGGTCAAAACAGCACTGTCTCACATTTATCCCTGCAAATCAATTCTTTAACATCTCTTGTAAGGATAAAACTGTGAGAAGGAAGGGAAATACATAAGCCACCTTTAGTTTCTTGAAGGGAAAAAGGTGGGATATAAATATAATAAATAAATATCCTGAAATTGCACATATGCCTCAGTGTTGTACTTGCACCACCAGATAATATTCCCACCATACTGACAGGTCACAGTTACTGTGCAATTATAGACATGTCTATGCAGTATCATGTCCCACTGAGTTCAGTAAGAGTTATTCCCAGATAAGTAGTTACAAATCTACAACCATAAAGCCTGTGTCTAGGCACGTCTACTCAGAAGAAACTCCCATGTGACTTCAACAGGCCTTACACCTGGGAAATGTATGTAGGATTGCAACCTACTTACCTGAAAGCAAGTCCCACTGAGCACAATGGATGTACTTCTGAGTACATATGCATAGTCTTGCACTGCTAAATAAATTATTCTGGATAAAGTTTGGTATGCTCCTTCCCCAAACTTTTTAAAAACTGTCCCTGCAAGTCTTAGGATCAGAACACAACAGAAGATTGTTAGCGTTATTCTATCGGGAAGGGAAGGGAAGGGAAAGGAAGGGAATCAACTGTTTCAGCAACATGTATATGCAGCAATAATGATTCAAATGTCCTTTCTGGGTTCACAATTAGGAAAGAACTGGATATATTCAGTAGAAGCCTCAATGTATTGATGCTGTGACTTCACCATCAAATCAATTCCCTCCACCCCCATTTCCCACCCAATGAAACCTACTTTTTGTAACATCTTGACTAATGAAGAGATCTGCAGATCTCAAAATCTTGCCCATTTTTGAATCATTTAATTGATCTACTAAAGATATAACATCTTTAATGTAATATCTTTAGTATTATAGATATTTGAGATATCTCTTATTACAGTATTACAGATGTTTGAGAGATTTCTCATGGTCAACACAGCTAACTTTATTTTTGTTTCTCAACTTCACTGATGTTGCAAAAGATCCTGAGGATTAAAAGTTTTCTGAAGCTACTTTCAGGACCAAAATATTAACCAGCTATTCATTTGATGTTGCTTCTGCTGCACAGATGACATGAACTGTTATGCTGTCAAATCAATGTTCTAAAAAAAAGTTGGGGTGGCCCAATGGTCTGAAGTAAGGGACAACCTTTAAAAGATACATCCATAACTAACTATAAACAATTAATAAAAAGAGCATTGCTATGCAAAGTTATTAGGGTCAAAGAAGCCACCAAGTTCAAAGAAGCCATAGTGGCTTGTTTTAATTCCTGGCATATGCCCTGCATTATTTGTCTAATTAGCTGCCCACTTGTGTTGCCTGAACCCAGGTAGCATGGTTTGTCTGAAGGAGAAATAGCCCTCAAATAACCCTATAACATGCCGTGGATGATTGAGGATTATTTTGTTGTCAAACAAGCCATGCCACCCAGGTCTGGACGAGACAACAAGCTGTACCCAGGTAGGTAACTAAGCTAATGGAACCCAGGACATCCTCCTGGAAGTTAAAACAAGGCACTGTGCCTTGATACTTCTTAAAGCTACTCATACCACAGTAACTTGCCTTGATCATGCAAACCATGTCTTGGAGTGTAAGACTTCTACAATGGAAGTTTCAGCCAGCTAATACCAGAAAGGCACAGAAGGAAAACCTACATCCAAATATTCCTAAACCAAACTTACTCCTGCTGTCCTGAAATCCCATTGGCTTGCAGCCAAGTTGTACACAAGTTTACTCAGAAGTAAATCCCACTGCTCTCCTTGATGGAGTTCACTGGAATACACCCCAACTACGTATGCATAGATTTGCAGCTCTCTTCATCCAGAAGTCTTCATCCATATAACCCTAAAGACCACAAAAAGTTAGGCAACCTTCCCACAATCATGCAGGAAGTCTTTAGGAAACTGTGAACAAAATTCCCACGTTGAATTTAAAAAAAAATACTGAAGCAGGTATATATTCTCACTACATGGTTTAAGCAGTGAAGTATTACTGTTAAGTGGGATTACGGTCTCTGAAGTTTAAAAGGCATTTATCAAAATCTAAACATAGTAAGAGTGACATAGTTCAAATGCTTTGCAAATCAAACCTGTAATCAGAGCCAAGAATTCAAGAACGGAATAGTAGTAGTTGTGTAATAGTAAACAACACAGAGAGAATAATATCACTGCTTCTTTGCTTGACCCACAACTGCAAGAATCAAAGATCAGTTTAGACACCAGGCAGCCAATTGATTCTATGGTTAATCTCTCAAATCCAAACATGAACTGAGTCAATGTCTACTTCTGAGCAAAGTCCCACCCCCCACCCCCCATTTTGCAGCCATCTACAAATGTTTACTCTGGAACAGTGGAACAGACCTCAGTGACACAACCCTGATGTAAACAGTTTGCAGACTACTGTTCTAGTTTAGTTGGCAGCCTCACTGTAGACCTTTATTATGCTACTCAGGAGTAAAGCAGTGATTGTAGGATTACACTGGAGTTGATCCACTGTGACAGACTGTTTGGGGCATGCTTTCGCTTGGGTTGCCCCACTAAAGAGGTACATTTTGAATTAAGGGTTTTGTGGACATGCATGAAGGCAGGCCACTGACTCCAAGGTTGTCTGTATGGCATTTGATTCTTACTCTCCAAAGATCTGTCAAGTACCCAGCAGGAGGCTTTCAGGTGTCTTGGAGGAGTTACTCAACCTTTCATCCCTCCGAGTAAACCAGATCAGAAAGAAGAACCGTCCAGGTCAGCATCTCCTGTCATGTTTTATGCCATCCCTCCCGAACTTGGCGCCCTCCGTATGTACAGGACGGCAACCCTCACTATGCCCCACGGCCAATGGTCAGGAACGCTGGAGCTGTCATCCCAAACATCCAGAGGGCGCCAGGTTGGAGAAAGCTGTTCTAAGCTATCTCCGACCTAACCGCTTGAGAGAGACGGGAATCCCGCAGGGACCAGTCCAGCTGCTTGCCCCACAGCTGGAGCACATCCATTGCTGGTCCCTTCCAAACAATGCATGCGCCACGCTCTCTCTCTCGGTCTCTCTCTCTTATCTCGAATGCCCAAACCCTTCCAGGAAAGCCGCTCGCCTTTACTACAAAGCGCCTCGCCGTTTGTAAACACACACTCACACGCACAGCCCTCGATCAAAGTGTGAGCACAGTCCAGCCTAGTGCGCGCTTCTTGGCCATTCTCAAGCAGAAGTGGCGGCGGCGGCGGAGGTAATGGTGGAGCGGGAAGTCCCAGAGCAAGAGGAAAATCGCTCGCTCTCTCTCTCTCTCTCTCTCTCTCTCTCTCTCTCTCTCTCTCGCACACACACACGCACACACACGCACGCACGCGCACGCACAAGCCTGCAAGCATTGCCATCGGGGGAATTCCCTCGCTTTTAGGATAGTCTAACGAGGCTCTCTGTCAGTCCCCCCAGCACCCAAAGGAAAGCGGAGGTCGTTGTTCCCCCTCCGCGCTTACCTCTCGGGGGATCTGTCAAGGCAGCTCGTCGCGAGGCTGCAACTTCGCCTCTGCACTTCCACACACCCCACGAGTTGCAGCCGCGTCCCGGCTTACGCCCTCCGCATCCTGCTCGCCTCGGTCACACAGGACGAGGAAAACGAGCAGGGCTCGCCGGTGCCCAGGAGAAAAACCCGTTCAGGCAGTGCCCTCGCGCTGCGCCGCGCCACCCGCGACCCTCCGGAGCGAGCGTCAGGAAAGACGCACGGACTTGCTGCGCCTGGACTCCGCGATTAACCCCATCGCGCTAACCGAGAGAGAGAAAGCAACATCCCCAGCGGGGGAATCATGCTCGGGCCCATCAGTCAGGGCCGCGGAGGCTTCCTATTGGGCGGAGGGCGGGGCTTGCGTGGTGATGAACACCAAGAGGTCTTGCCAAGGAAAACTCCGCCCTCCCCCCCCCCGCTCCCTCCCTCCCGGTGCTTGACTTCCTGAGATGCGTCCGGAGCGGCACTTGGGTCCCGTTTCTCTTCTCCCCCCGCCCCTTGGGAAGGAGAGTTAGTTTCCTCGCGGGCTCCCACCAAGGACTCGGAGATGATTGGACATATCCGCGCAGGAGGCAATCCGGGTTTCCTCGCAAGAAGGCTTCCCTGCGGCTTTTGGGAGCCAGAGGCTGGCCACAATTTGCCCTTTTTTTCTCTCTCCCACACTTTCTAGATCGCAAGCATTCTTCACGTTAGGCAGCATTTCCATTTTTTGTGACCTCTCACGTTTCTACTTCACCCCTCCATCCAATATTTCTGATACGACTAACTGAAACATTCGCAAGGAATTTTACGGTTGAATGCCCCATTTATTGCTTTTCCTGCATATTTAAGCATAAATTGACTTGTCTCACACTGTATTTCTTGCATTTCGTTCCCTTTTGAGCACCTATCCATGTATATATTTGTCCACTGATAAGACTTTACACATCTGATGATGCAGACCTTAGCCCACAAAAGCTTAACCCAGAAGGAAAATGATAGCCCCTAAGGTCTTACATGAGTGTGCAAAATTAAAAATGCACACTCTTCAGAAATGATTTATTCCTCCTCCCCCCAATCAGTTTTTAAAAGTTTCCTTTGAAAGGGGCCTGGACAGTTACACCAAGTGCAAGCAAGGCCAACACAGGGAGACCCTTGGTGCAAATCCCTGTGTTTGGTGGCATCACTGTATTTTTCCCCAACACAATAAGCAAGGATGATTCCAAAGGACGGCTGGTTTGCCACTCTTGGTTTTGATCAGATTCATGCCTACCTGGAGCTAAAGTTGCTTTGCCCACATGATGCTTCTGGGTGTTTTGGACCAAGCTCCCTGCAGCACAGCCAATGGTCAGGAAGACTGGGGAATGCAAGCAAAAAGTCTAGAGGGCGCCAAATTGGAGAAGACAGCTAAAGGGACCTAAGGGTGTTACCTTTATCGACACTAGAAGTAGACCAGAATACGGCTTAGGTTAACCCTGATCTTAACCTCATTTTTAGGGTCCGCTCTGCAAACAGTACGTAGAGCACCACAGTGACAAATGGTGGAGGGAGAGAATTGTACTATAAACAGTCTGGTGCAGCCCTTGGTTCCCTGAACCATGCCCCCCCCCCATTTTCTTTTCTCTCTTTCTTTCTAAAATATGCACACCCAGGGCTCTGTTGCATTCATGTGTGCATCATGTCACATGCAGTTAGCCAATGAGGTGGCACTTAGAAAGACTGTGCTACTTCAGATCACTGGTGGGTGATCACTTTCCACTTTCATGTGGAACACTAGCACTTCAAGGAGCAGGGTGGCAAGAAGATTTTGGTTGTTATTTATGGGCGTGTGCTTTCATCTTGGGGGAGCAAAAGGCCTTCCATGCTGGCAATTTGCAGTTGGGCAGTTCCCCTTCCACAATTGGGCAGAATTTTCCTTGACAAGGCCTCTTGGTGTTCATCACCACCTAAGCCTGCCCTTTGCAGCCTCTGCAGCCCTGACTAATAAGCCTTCCCTTCCGACAGCCGTCAAGCAATCATTGTAGGTATGCAGGCACACTGTGAGTGTGCATCCTAAGCAAGAGACTTGGTGGAGAGCCCAGCATCTGGTCTAAGGTGCTACTGACTGGGTTCAGACAATGTGATAGAATACAATCATTGGATGGGTTGTCACAGAACAGTGGGTTGTTGTTGAAATGTGGGTTGGCATGTTCTCTAAACCCATCCCACCAAGAAACCATGGTTTATTAACCATGAGCGACCCATGAAGAATATCCAAGTTTTGTTGTTGGGTTGTGAACTATGGATTGTTCATGGCTTGGAAGCATGGTTGTTAACATGGTTGGGTTCAGGCATGATAATCCATGGCTCAGTGACAACCCACCCTCAAGTCTTGAGTGTGGGTCATTGTGTTGTCTGAATCTAGATACTGTCTTAAAGTAGCAATCTAGAAAAGCTCCATGCAGTGTAGGTATATAGAAACATCTTACAGTTGCACCCCTTCTTGATAGCATCATTTTATAACATTTGTTTCTGTTCCTAGAAACAAATTCTGCTGCCTTTAATTATGCAAATGGCAACACAAATGGCTGCAGAAATAAACTTCTCTTAATGCAGGTCACCACTAAGAGCTATAGTCAATTTGCCTATTTAGTGACATATGTTGATTATAACTTGTGAACCATTAGTTGGATGTATTGCATTTTTTTTTTTTTTTGCAATCCTGAACTGAAATCTGCAACTTCTGAATAGCTTTTTGCATAATCCTGATTGCATGGGATTGAAATTGTCACCTTGTCTCTTGTCATTTATTTTAAAGCTTATCACTGAAATAGGAACTAGAAACTTGGTTAAGTAGTGAAAACAGATTCTAAAAAGTGCTTTCCTGTTACACACACACACACACTTAAAATGCTTGCCAGGAAACAAATCAAAGATGCACAACTTTCACTATTTCAGGCCTCTATCTGCTTCTTGTACACTGGACCAGACAGTGTACAAGAGGGTGGGCATTTCCTCAATGCAAAGCAGAGTTAAATAGGCAAGCATTCAGTTGGTGGCAAACTATGAACATGCACATATTGCTGGCCACTCTCCTGCCTTAAGAATGCCTGTTGAGAGAAGTAAGGCAGGAAGTACAATTGCTCTTTTCTGAGGGCAGCATACTTATTCTAGTGGTGTGCATGCCATGTACTCTCAGTTTCTTTCCCATTTTGTTTCACAAAATAGACATAGCAATAATGCTCGTGAATGCAGAATTGGTTATTTGCACTATGATAGTCCAGGCATACCTGTTCAGCCTTTTTGTTCTGCCATTGCAATGAAGGGGCTGTCTTGACTTGCTCAGCACAAAAGGAGGTATGCAATGTACACACTAACTCTCAATCTGTACTGTGCAGTTCTCCCTAAAGGGAGCACATCACACAATTCACCCTGTGCAGGATGTTCCTCGACAGTCATCTCAAAGGAAAGGATACATTAATCCTAACCCTGAAATAAAAACATGCATTAAATCCACTGAAAAGAAAATGAACTTGGAACGGTGATTGCCACTGAACAGCCTGAAATCCAAATAAACATGAAAGCCAATTTCCTTGTCAAACAGAGGGGGGATCTCCTGTTTCTAACCACTTCCAAGCTGACTCATCTTAAGAGAATGACTCATTTTTCGTATTTTGTAGCAATGAGGGGCGTGACTGTCAATAGAAATGATATTTAGCCGTTAGAACTTGCATTGCCAAGACTAAGTCCAAGAAAGGGTTGTGGATGTTCTTCCTCAGGGGCACAGTGCACAAAGCTGTAATCATGCCATGTGCAGCCCGGACCTCTGGTTACTTGGAATTCAGGGCCATGGCGCACTGTCTGAGGCAGAGAACAAGGCGCCGCTGCCTCCCATTCCATGTACGAAAGTTAAATGGGCAGACAGCAGGATCCTTTCCACACTAGTGACAAGACAACATCCTCCATCACATCTGAAAGCAGCAGCCTGGCTTAGCAGCTGCAAGGCAGACCTCATGGCCTACAGGATTCCCCTCCAACACCCTGGCACCACCTTGCAGTATGTGCCACCTAAGGCAGTGCCAACCCGGTAAATGGCCCAACTACATGTTACATTGGATCTCTGTGGTTGATGTTCTCCATGTAATTTTCTGTTCTTTTTAAAGCAGCCATTGATGCACAGAATAGTCTCCCAGAAGGCTCAGAGCAGGGGTGGGCAATTAATTTTCCTATGGGGCCACATGAGAAACTTTGACAGTTGTTAAGGGCCGGACCAATACACTTACAGCTCTGCTAAGTATATCTCTCTATAAAAACAGTAAAAGAAACGTTACAATGATACAATGAAAATGTGGAGCACAGAACAACACTATTTAATGAATATTCACAAAAACATTAACATTACATGAAAAGCAATAAATTCAATTCAATTTAGCAGATCCTTCAAAATAAAAGCAGTGCAGTTGCATTGCTTGCATCTATATTACGACGATATATATTTGCATTGACTTTTAATTTGCGGGCCAGTCAGGGTCAGCCATCGGGCTGGATGTGGCCCGCGGGC